GGCACTCAGTTGATCATCTTTTATGAAATCCTTCATGCCCTTTTGATTCTGTTTGAAAGAATTACACTGGGATTACATCTGTTTGCATTTTTAATTTTCCTATAAGGGCTTAAGGATTCATTCTATAAGTGTCAGTTTTTGACAATACTGTTATTACAACTTGCTTGTATTTTTTTCTCTGTATTTTCCTTCTAACTGGCTTTATATCTCCCTGTTACCCTATTAATTGAGTTTGCTCTCTTTTCAATACTGCTTCAGAATCTATAATAATAATTTTAAAAATTATTAAAAATAAATGATAGTAATAGTAAGGACTCATTATTTAGAACTGTTCTAAATGTTTTATATATATTAACTCATTTAATCCTTATAACAACCCTGTGAGAGTAGGTACTATTATTTTTATTTTAAACTGAATTTCAGAGAGGTGAGCTTGGTTGCCCAAGATCACTTAACTAGTGGTATAGTTGGGATTTAAGAGGCTAACCAACTATATTAAACTACTTCTCTCTAGTTAGGCTGTGCTCTCTGTCATACAGACATTTCTGTTTAAAGGCAGTTTTTACTATGTTTGTGGCAATTGACATTTTATCTCTGTTCAACTTTATGTGTTTCAACTCTAAATTATAGCTTATTAATTGTTTTGAGTATTCCTTTTTAACTCAAAAACATTGGCCTACTTTGAGAGCATGGAGTTAGGAGTATCCAAGTCTGTCTGAGTGAGTTTGCAAAGTCTTCACAAAGATTATAATTTTTGAGCCTTGAAGAATGAATATGTATTTTCAAGGCTAAAAGAAAAGAAGCCATCTCTAATGTGGAGAGATTAGCACGTTTAATTGCTCAGCGATTAGAGACATGGGACCTTTGAGGAGCTACAACTAAGTTCATTTGACTAGAAGTGTAGATTTTATCTGAAGGCAATAGAAAACCATTGTAGATTAAAAAACATATTTTAATAGATTATTTTTTGAGCTGTCTTAGGTTTACAGCAAAATTGAACAGAAGGTAACAGAGATTTCCCCTATATTCCCCTGCCTTCACATATGCATAGCTTCTTCTCCCATTATCAGCATCACCCACTGGAGTGGTTCAGGTGTTATATTTACCTACATTGCACATCATTATCACCCAAAATTCAAGTTTACATTAGGGTTCCCTCTTGGTGTTGTACATTCTATGGGTTTGGACAAATGTATAATGTCATGTATTTACCATTATAGCATTATACAGAGATGTTTCACTCCCCAAAAACCCTGTGTTCTCTGCCTGCTCATCCTGTCCTCCATCCTAACCCCTGGCAACCACTGATCTTTTTACTGTCTCCAGAGTTGTGCCTTTTCCAGAATGTCACATAGTTGGAATCATACAGTACGTTGCCTTTTTAGATTGGCTTCTTTCACTTAGTGATATTACCGTATTTCCCATGTATAAGACACACTCTTTTTTGAAAAATTTGGGGTCTAAAAACTGGGTGCGTCTTATACAGTGGTTGTATGAGTGCAAAAGCAAGCACGAAAAAAGCGGGAAATGCAAGTAAAAAAAAACTACAACCACTGTATAAGACACACCCAGTTTTTAGACCCCAAATTTTTCAAAAAAGGGTGCGTCTTATACATGGGGAAATATGGCAATATGCATTTGTTTCCCTCCATGTCTTTTCATGGCTTGATAGCTCATTTTGTTTTAGCACTGAATAATATTCCTTTGTCTGGATGTAGCAGTTTGTATATCTGTTCACCTTCTAAAGGACATTTTGGTTGCTTCCAAGTTTTGGCAATTATGAATAAATCTGCTGTAAATATCCATGTGCAGGTTTTTGTGTGGACATAAGTTTTCAGTGCATTTGGGTAAAGACCAAGGAGTGTGATTGCTGGATCTTATGGGTAAGAATATGTTTAGTTTTGTAAGAAACTGCCAAACTGTCTTCCAAAGTAGCTGTACCATTTTGCATTCCCACCAGCAATGAATGCGAGTTCCTGTTGCTCCACATCCTCACCAGCATTTGGTGTTGTCAGTATTTTGGATTTTGACCATTCCAAAAGGTGTGTAGTGGTATCTCATTGTTGTTTTAATCATTGAAGAATTTTAACATGGAAGTGACACCAAATTTATATGCCTCAGAGCTCCATCTGAAAGCAGCGTGGTCCTTTAAAAGGAGTGGAGGCAGAACTCGAGGCAGAGAGACTGGTTATGAAGCTGTGGCAGTGATTTAGCTAGACATGAAGAGGACCTAAGTACAGGCCCTCCAGTAGGAGCAGAGAAGCCAGAATGAGAGATCTTCGATTGGAAGTATGTGATGAGGAAGAAAGGAGTTTCCCTAGTGATTCTCAACACACTTAGGGGGTATTTGGAAATGCGTGGAGGTGTTTTTTGGTTGTCGTAATGACTGAGGGTTTCTACTGGTATTGGGGGGTGCTAAATGTCCTGCAATGCGTAGAACAGTTCCTCACAATGACAGATTTTATTGAGAAACACTGTAGGGTGATGACATTCATTGTGAGAAATGAAATAGGTATATAGAGGTAAGATAATGAGTTCAGCTTGAGCCCTGTTGAATTTTAGTTGTTTGTGGATACCAGTTGAAGATGTCCTTAGGCAATTAGATGTATGAATCTAGAAAAATAGAGATACAAGTTTCAGATTTAGGAGTTATTAGAAATGGTTGAATCTATAATGTGAAAAAAGGTAAAGGTTTGAAAAATTTACTGAGGGGGAAGTAGAAGTGGTTATTGCTGACATACAGTGTTATGTGACACTGATAGTTAATGATGAATGGAGGAAAAAGAGGATCCAGTAGAAGAAGGCCAGAGAGGACAGAGGAATGCCAATAGTGTGCTATCATTAACTCCAAAAGAAGTGACAGCTCCATCCGGGAGATATGCTCAATTCTGTCAAATGTGGCAGAGAGCCAAGTAAATTAAGGACATAAAAGTGTTTGGTTGGCAACCAGAAGGATCTGGTGACCCTCCAGAGATCACTTTTACTAGGGTGAGTGGCAGAGGTGGACACTAGTTTATAGAATTAAGTAGGGTATGAGAGGTGAAGAAATGGGGCAATGAATGTAGATGATAAAAAGTTCTCTTCTTGTACAACTTAAACTTTCAAACATCATACATGTGCACTCCTACTCTTGTCAGATTCTTATGTTAGTGTATCAGCTGACAATTGGCATTTATGGGTGTCTCATGGTATGAAGTTATTTGATTATATTTCAGATTCTCATCCTTATTTTATAAAAATTAATTGAAAAAAATATTAACACTAGTAAGCTTCTCGTACATTTAATGCATTTGAAGTGAAGAAAATCATTAAGCATGCTAATAATGGCAAATCTTACTGCACATGCTGATAACAATTTTACCGCACTTATACTAGACAAGTATATGTTTATTTGGTACAGAAAAAAAAGAACCTGGAAGGTATATTGGCTTTAAAGACTGTAAAGATTAAAAAGGAATTGTGATTAGGAGTTGGTGTGATGTTTCTAGTTCTCTTAAACCATGGGGATCTGAATTTGATTTTCAGACATGTTTTAGGAGCACATTTTGTATAAAAGTAGAAGACTCCTTGTACAAGATAATCTGTGAAGGGAAGAAGAAAGGGTAGCTAGCAAGGGAATGAAAGACCCAAGAAAGATTTTTTTGTAAGAGAGATGATAAGCTGAACATGTTTGTTTGTGGAAGGGGAAAGCCAGAACATGGCAAAGTTGAAGATGTAGGGAGAAAGGAAAATTAATAGACAATAGGCAAGATTCCTTGAAGAGGCAGGATAGTATTAGATCCAGAATGGTGGTGTTTGGGGGCTTATCCTTGGATAGGAGAAAAAATGCACCTTTTGCATTGAGTGTGAAGGAAGAAATAATGATGGATTTCAAGGTAAGTACATTTGCATGTGGAACAATAGGAAGTTCACTGAGCAGTTTCAGTCTGTAGTTTGGGTAGATGTGTAGTCCCTGTCCTTGGAGAGGTTAAGGTCCTGTGACGATAGGGAGTTTTTTGCCTGTGGCCTATATATTTTTCTTTGAGGCAGGATGTGAGCCTTTTGGAGTCTTTCCTAGTCTCTCATGATTCCTCAGATTATCAAGAGTGGTTTGCATATCATATCCAAAAGGATTTTTAAGTTACTTGGGATGTAATTTTTTCTGACCTGGAGATATAAATTTACTCACTCATAAAAGCTTGATACTTGACTACTTTAGCTCCTTGAGAGAGGTCATAGGTCTTTCACTCTGTCACATGACAGGTGTAGTTCTTTTTCATTTGGCAGTATTGCTTTTTTACCCTTCTCTGCTCCAAACCCATTAAATGGTCATTTATATCATTCCAAAAAGCAAATCTTAGTTTATTATTAATTAATTTTATTTTTAAATAAGTATTTTTAATAGTCTCTGAGGAGCAGGATTAGACAGCCAACAACTTGTAATGTAGAATTGATTAGGATTGTGGGTAGGAATTCTTTGCATTACAGCTTACAGGTGTATATCAGTGGTTCTCAACTGGGGGCAGTTTTGACCCCCTGGGGACCTTTGGCAATGTGCGGAGACATCTTTGATTGTCATCACTGTGGCTAGAATGGAGCTATTACTAGCATTTAGTGGGTAGAGGCCAGGGATGCTGCTAATGTTACAATGCATAGGACAGCCCCCCACAACAAAAAATTACCTGGCTCAAAATGTCAAAATTGCTGAGGTTGAGAAGTACTGGTGTACATTAACTAGCATTTGAATATTTATGAATTAGCCAAGCATGCTTATCTACATTATTTAATTGAAACTTCAGAAACACCCCCTATGAGGTAAGTGGTATCCTTTCCCTGAAGGATGGAGGCAAGATCTAAACCTTGGGCTTATCGCTTTAGGAAAACCTTAATACATAAGTATTCAGGACACAAGCCCCCTCCCCCTCCTTTTTTATAAGGCTATCTTTGGTCTTACCTGTTTTGTATTTTAGGGATAAATATTCATGGCATTTGAAATACATAATTTATTTTTAATATTACAGATCTAGAAATGGCCATTGCCTACTGGAATTTAGTGCTTAATGGAAGATTTAAATTCTTAGACTTATGGAATAAATTTTTGTTGGTAAGTGTTTTCTCTAAACTTTTTATTTGTTTGAAGATAAATTAACATTTTAAAGCATGACTGACTCATTTCAGAGCTGTAATGGACATAGATGAGAAATTTGATTACCAGAATTTCATTTTGCATTTTGCATTCTTATAGTTAGCATCATCTGGACTGTTTTTTGAAACTTTTTAGTGATTTGGATTTTTTTTAATAGGAACATCATAAACGATCAATACCAAAAGATACTTGGAATCTTCTTTTAGACTTCAGTACAATGATTGCAGATGACATGTCTAATTATGACGAGGAAGGTAATGAAAATTTTTTCCCTACCAGTTTTTTTGGGTTTTTTTACCGCCTTCTATCACACACTCTTGAACTTCCTGTCTACTTCTTTAATTCTTGGAGTTGGATTTCCCTCTTCTGAGTTTTTATTTATGCTTTTCTGAATGTATGAAATACCTTTATCCTCTATACCAATCTGTATTGTTTTGTTTCTTTAAATATCAACTCAGTATTCATGTCTTCCAGAAAGGCATAAGTAATTTTCACCCGTGCTTTAGATTTTAAGTTTACTTTAGGAACCTATTGTCTTAATGTACTTTTATACTTGTTGTCTGTCTTGTCTGCGAAGTTGATTGTCAACTCCTTAAGTTTAGTGACTTTGTCTAACTTGAAATGTACTTCATCTGCCTACTGTAGTATTATTGGCATTCATTCAATAAATATTCATTAATTGAATGCTTTTCTGTTTTTTCTTCATGTATGTATAAAGATGATGCTACTATCTACTATTGGTTTTTCTAGAAGTGGTAGTGATTTACAATGATTCCTTCACACATAATTACCCAGTTCCCCTTGAGAATTAGCAGGCTGTGTTTTTGAGATTGTTGAATAGACAGAGGTATTCTTTGAAAAATCTTCAGTGACCTTGCCTCCTTAAAAGTGTCTTGGAGCCATTTAATCTAACCAGGGATGATGTTATTTTATTTTTTGTTTTCATTGTCCTTTATAGTCTTCACTAAAAAGAGAAATGTCTAATCTTGCATATGATTGATAATTGTGCTGTTAGCCATTACACAGAACTGGAGAACTTTCTGATTTAGAGGTTGGCACATGGATGTATAGAGGCATACATATGTGGAATTTTAAGTCTTTTAATTATGAAATAGGATAGATTTAGATACTTGCTGTTAATTTGCTTTGTAAGATTACCACAAAATGCCTGAAAATTTGTTTCCTCCTACCTACTATGCTTTCAACACTGGGAGCATGCCCTCATATCATGGCCATTCCTCAGGCTGCCAGTTTTGATCAGATTACAATGGCCTGACTTCAGTGACTTTCAGAAAACCGTAATATTATTGATTACCAAGAGAGTTATTTTTTATCATTTGAGGAATGATCAAGTGTTGGAAAAATAGAGCAGAGCGAATACAAGGAATACTTTTGGTAGGAACTCTAAAAAGCTAGCATTTTGGAAGACCTATCATTGGAAATATGTGCTTATAATGATATATTTTAACCATTATGGGGAAGGTACTTATAAAATAAAGGATCCTTTAAAATGTTAGTCTTATTTTTGCTTTTCTTTTTCCCATATATTTCTTTTCCCTAGGAGCATGGCCTGTTCTTATTGATGACTTTGTGGAATTTGCACGCCCTCAAATTGCTGGGACAAAAAGTACAACAGTGTAGCACTAAAGGAACTTTCTAGAATGTACATAGTCTGTACAATAAATACAACGGAAAATTGCACAGTCAATTTCTGCTGGCTGGACTGAACTGAAGATCAATCCTCGCAATTCAGACTGAGGGTTGAGACAAAACTTTAAGGATACATCTTGGACCATATCGTATTTCATTCTCCTAATGGTGGTTTGGGCTTGTCTTCTAGTCTGGGCCGCTCTAAACATTCATAATTCCAACATTGTGGATTTCATCTTATATCTGTGGACCATCCTAGTTTATTCTCCCATAAGACTTAGAAGCTTTATGGTGATTATTTTGAGGTTTCCATTCTTGCATAAAGCACAATGCTGTCTTCATCAGAAAACAGTTTGGCATAAGAATTAAAAACATGAACATCACAAACAATTTATAAAAACTTCTTAAATATATGCTTTGGGCTAGTTGCAAAGACTATGCTGATAGCACTTCCAATGAGAGTGATATATTTAAGTGTACTGGATCTGGAATGGTGTTTTCGTTTGCGGGATTTTTTTTTTTTTCCTGGCAAATCACATGTATTGTTGATGTGAGTAGAGAATCTGATGAAAAAAATGTCAAAATAACCAACGTGAACAATTTTTAGGATAACTTCGTGTGCCTACCTGAAAAATTTATTGTGTTTCAGACCCTCGATTTTAAAAGATTCCACAGAACTAGTCTGCACTTATCTTACCCATGTTTATATATAGTTGTCCTACAGGGAGCTTTTATTTAGAAAATATCTGCATAATGTTAGATTCTACTCCTGTCTACATTATGCACTACATAATTGGATTTCATTATGATTTTGAAATGCTTATATGCCTGTCAAATAAGTTAAACTATTTAATTTGTTTTGAATGTTTCAGATTGCTACACAATACAATATTCTAAATTTAGGCATGAGGGTTTATTTTTTGTTTTTGTTTTTGTCAGCACACTATGGAACACAAATGAAATTCTCTTAATTTATAAGATGATAATAGGAATTAAATTTTGAAAATGGTCGTGATGAGCCATGAAGTTCAATCCTTATAGGTACTGCTCTTTCATACAAATAGTCCATTTTTGATGACTTGTTATTTTGTTGAAATTGCTTTAACTGCTAATCACTGTGGTTGCCAAATACTTACTTGAAGAGCAAAGGTTTTCAAGCAAGCATGCACTTGATGCAAAATATCAATCCGGCTTCTATTTTCATAAATTATATAGTCTCTACTGTTTGTTTCATCAAATTAGCTCAGTTTTCACATCAAAGCAGAATTTTATCTTGTATGTATGATTTTCATTAGAAGACCTATGAACTGCTTTTGTGCTGAAAACGCCAATTTCCCTGTTCACTTCCTGACATGTGAAGAAGGGTTTATTGCTTTTTAAAATATTTCTGTAAGGCAGGTTAAAAAAATGTAAAACTTCAACTATTACATGCCTATGCTCTTTAGCAGGAATAGATTTTGCTTGGTAATTCCAGGCACTCTCTAAGGTCTAATGTTGAAATTATCAAAGGAATGTACTTCACATTAGCAGTACATTTTATGTAGATGTGGAAATGATTTTAAGAACAATGACATATTAAAACTACTTTTTATTTACATGATTTTGAAATTGACTAGAAAGCTTTTCCCATGGATATTATATTAATATTCCAATCATAACTTTAATTCAAGAATACAATTCTGCCAAAAGAAAATTTTGAAAATTTCTATTCAGGTTACTGGCATTGGTTATTTTTAAAAAAAAAAAAAGGAAGAAAAAAGAAGAATCCTGCTGCTTTCAAGTATTTCCTGATTTCATATGTGTAAATATAAAAAGGAACTTCAATTATGAAAAATTTAAAAAGATATATATGTACTATTTTGTTTCCTGTCTTGAAGATTTTGAGTTATGATATTGTTTTTAGATTGACTAATTAATTCAAATATGCTGTGATTTGAATGAGATCCCATTAGCTTTTCTTTCCAATATAAATTGTTTTTCATAAAGTCTGATATTGGTTCATGGCCTAGTGCCTTGGGTTTTACAGACTTTTTCTTTTAAATGCAAGACCTTTTCAACAAAATAGTATTTGTCATCAGTGTGGTACTAGACATTTATAATTACTGTGTAATTATAAACAAAAAAATACATAAATCTTTGAATATAATTATGTAGCATAAAAGGTAAGGTTGTTCACTCTATGATGGCATCTTAGAATTAAACAATACTATTACTAGGGCTGGAAAGAAGACTGATTTAATGTGCTATGATTATTCTGAGGATAAATGTCTGGTTACAGGGAATATTTTGTACTAAAAATGCTTATACATATGAGTGAGTGTGTGTGTGTGTGTGTATGTGTGCGCGCGCGCATGCGTGTGTGTGTGAGAGAGAGAGAGAGAGAGGGAGAGAGAGAGAGAGGGAGAGAGAGAGAGGTTGAAGGAGACACCCACCCACCCACAGCTTGAATCGTTTCAGTCTTCATTCTGGTAAACTCCCCATGTTGATTCTTTGTTTTAAACTGAACCACAGGTACAGTTTCCTTTTTGCCAAATGTCAAAACAGGTACACATTTTAAAATGTAATGCTTTTTAAATAGTGTATAAAATTAGAAGTGCCCACACATAAAAATACTTGAGATCAAGATTATCTTTAGTGATTATCACCTGCGTATCTCTGTAAGTTCAATTGTGTTTCTTACAATCCCTGTCATATTACCAACAGAGGCAATAAAAGCTTCAGTGAAATTGCCATGACTAAATCTTTTCACATATTATTTCAGTGTAATATTTTTAAAGACTAAAAAATATACCTGAAAACTTTTCCAGGAAGAATAATTATTCGTGGAAAGAGCATTGTAATGGCAAGTTTTAGGGAGAAAAGACATGCCAACTCTTGTTTACTACATTTAAAATGTTTACAACTCTACTGGGCTGCTTTATTTAATTAACAGTACTGTAGTTGTGTAATATGGCATTGTAAGTATGTGTTCTTCATTAGACTTTTAAAAAGTTTTAATGAGAGAAAGTAAACTTAATAAAATAACGGGAAATCTTTTATATAATATCCTTACTGGGGAATTCTTATTTAAGCAAGGTATACTATTTTTTTCCTCAGAAAGATTTAAGTGAATGAAGTGTTCATCTATTTTTTATTTGATGATAAGTTTGAGTAGTTGTAGCTAGTTTTAACGTGCACTTTGCTTAGATTTTTTAAAACATGTTATTAAGACTATGTTTTGTAAACCTTCTGTAACTTTTACGTATTGAATGACAGAAGAAAGTTGAACCTAATGAAAGAATTTTGGAATGAAAAAGGAAAGCGGTGCTGGGGAAATTTATTATAGTTCACAAAGTATGCCTTTGTAAACCTGGATCAACTTCTAGCAAGAATTAATTTATGTAGTTCTAAATGTTAAATTGTGTATATTTAATAGAAAATACTTATTTGGCACCTCAGCAGTTTTCTTTAAATGTTACTTTATACTTTTAACAATATGATTTATATTGACTACATAGATGTTTTGATAAGATTTTATCAAATTTGATAATGTAATGATAAAATGTTTTTAAAATGTGAACTATTTAACATATATCTTAATAACTGAGGACACAATACATGCATTGTGATTTCTACATAATGTGATAATTAGGATTCAAATTATGGCTCATCATTTAATTATAAACGAGTATATTCTGAACTCTTTACTTGCCTCCATTTTTACAATCATATAGCAATAATTTCTATATTTATAGAAATGTGGTGAAGTTATATATCACGATACCTTTGCCTTTGATTTCTGAGGGGAAGGGGTTTATATTTTACAGTTATGATAAATTTGAAAATTCCTAATAGTACACATCCCCTTTTCCAGGTTTATCCTACTTGTTGCCATTTTAGTTGAATTCTTGGCTTGATTTGTATCTGATTCTGGAGGCAGTGCTGTTTTTTTAAACTCCTAATACAGTTACATAAATGGTTTTACCAGAGCGTTCTTGCCATCTTATTTTCTTCACGGCCTGTTGGGCAATTGGCATTTCCTGCTGACCAACTCATTCATTTGGCAACTTTCCACTAGGCTCAATGTTTTGTGTTAATATGGCTTTTGACTTCTCTTTGGTTGATCTTAAAAAAAAAAATCTGTCATAAATAAGGAAATTATGATAAAAGGTGCACAGCATTTGTAGTAGCTGGAACTCCTAAAGTAATATCTTTATGGAATCTTAAAGACAAATTATTTTGTGAATCATGATAATTACCCATTTTAAAAACAGAGATTCTAAAATGTATGTTTTTAAGAAGTATATCCAAGTTTTTCTTTAAAGTATTGCTGAAGTATTTTCAATTTAGTTGTTTTGTATTTGTGCTGTGCAGAAATCAATGTTTGTCTTAGACCATTGGTTTTCAAACCATACCTTAAGGCTGCTATAGGTTGGGCCATAGCAGGCAGGAGACCTCTCCTTTTACCTTCATCTATAGCTTTCTACTTTAGTCTTTGTAGAATATTGGCATTTCATATGAGATTTGGTTTGAGGGAAAATGTTTCGCTTAAAAAAATTGTTTTTTAATGGCTAGCTGAGGGGGAGCATTTCCTCTTTGGCAGATTTTTCAGGAAATGGAAAGAGATGGAGTCAGACCGAAATTAAAGCAGGCCTGATGATAGAAGGCAGCACTGCCTTGAAGAGTCGATCAAATAAGTTTAAAGTAAAGAATTTCAAATCAAAATAATGAAAGCAAAGCTTGATTTGAAACAATGAAAAGTTTGAAACTTATCAGAGGCAGCGTGTGAGTTGCTTAATGACCAAACAAAAGAAAAAAAAAAAGGATGATATATTTAGAATGTCCATATGTATTTAGATGCATGTTCAATAGAAATATTTACTTAAAATTTTATTTCAAATTATGAAATGTTCTAGGAAACCTTTGTGTCTAATAGAAAACTTGGGCAATACCAAACAAGGGATTTTTACTAAAAGGAATACTGTAGGGCCTAAGATTAGGGGAAAACAAAATGGCTAAGAGAAAATAACTAGTGTAAGCTGCAGACCATGATTTATTACATGACACATAGCTAAAAGCAATATTTGATCAATGAGGTTTAGAGATGTGTGTACTTGGAATCCTTTAAAAATAGCATGTTTAGTTTTAAAGCAAACGCTAATACTATTCTTAATCCTGGTAGTACATTAGAATCCATTGTATTGATAGGAAATGAAGAGGCTGTCAGCCAGAGCTTTAAAATAGTCATTCCTAGGACTTTGTTGTAATGGTACTTTAAAAATGTAGCTTTATTGAAATACAATTTGCACACCATAAAATCCACATATTGTAAGCGTACGATTCAGTAGTTTTAGTGAAGGTATAGAGTGGCAGCCATCATCACAACCTAGCTTTAGCACGTTTCTGTCAGCTCGTAGCAGTTGCCCTCATGCCCTTTGCGGTTCGTTTTGGCTGCCACCCCCAGCCCTAGGCACGCATGACTGATCTGTGTATGCGTTTTCCCCGTCTAGAAATTACACATAAATGGGGTTTACAACTTGAAGTCTTGTGTATCTGGCTTCTTTCAGTTGGCATGATTTTGAGGTTCATCCATGAAGCATATGCCTGTACTGAGTTCCTTTGTTGCTTATGGTATTCCCATTGTATGGAGAGTCTATATTTGTTTGTCCATTCACCAGTTGCTGGACATTTGGATTGTTCACATATTTGGTTTGAATGCTGTGAACATTCACGGATATGTCTTAGTGTGGACATATGTTTTCATTTATTTCTCTTAGATTCCTAGAAGTGTAATTGTGTTGGTTGGAAAATTTATGTTTAACTTTCTAAAAAACTGCCAAACTGTCTTCTAAAGTGGCTGTACCATTTAAAAGTATTCCTACCACAATGGATAAGGGTTGCAGTTTCTCCACATCCTTGTGAATCCTTGTCTGTCTTTTACTATAGTCGTTCTAGTGGGTATGTATTTTAAGTGTGCAAGTTTTACCTAGCCATCCTAACTCATGTGTCTCTTGGATGTGCAGTTGGCGTGAGTAGACGGTGCCTGAGGGATGGCTGTAAAATTGCTTACAATAGACATGTCCTTACTTGAGGGTAGTATTTTCTCTAGCCAATGAGGGTAGTTATTACACCTTCCAGTGGGAGTTCTGGTCCCTTAGTGAACTCGGGTGAGGAGATGGACTGCTCAGGTGCAGAGTGCTGCTGGTGCTTTGTGCAAGTGTGTGTACCACGTTGCTGCAGCTACCCAGTTAGCCTGTGACGGGGGGTATGAAAACACTGCACAGATAACTGCATGGATATGTCAAGTCTCACTAAGTTCCCCAGAGCTCTTATGCTCTGAGATAACTTTGGGAATTCATAAATTTGTAAACATGTTGTTAGTATTGTTTAAGTGCTGCCTGCTTACCTGAGTTCATGTACATAGTGGGCACTGCAGTAGTGCTTTTTTATTTTCAATGGAAAATTTCAGACATACACAAAAGTAAAATGATAATGAGCCTACTTGAACATGATCAGTTCATGGCCAATCTTGATTTATCAATGTGCCATCCATCTTCCCAACCCTAATTTATTTTGAAGTCTCAGCAGATAAATTCATTTGTAAATATTTCAGTATGTATGTTTAAAAGATAAAGACTGTCACCACACTTAAATGTTAACATTTTCTTAGTAATTATCCAGTCAGTATTTTAAATTGTCTCATAATTTTTTTCCAGTTCAAGTCAGGAGTCAAAGAAGGTCCATACATTGCATATCTCTCTAAATCAGCGGTTCCCAACCTGTGGGTCATGACCCCTTTGGGGGTAGAACGACCCTTTCACAGGGGTCGCCTAAGACCATCAGAAAACAAAAAGATATTTACATTACGATTCATAACAGTAGCAAAATTACAGTTATAGAGTAGCAACAAAAATAATTTTATGGTTGGGGGTCACCACAACATGAGGAACTGTATTAAGGGGTTGCGGCATTAGGAAGGTTGAGAACCGCTGCTCTAAGTCTTTGAACCTTTGGGTCCCCATACCCCACACTCCTAGGCTTGCAATTCATTTGTTTGAAATAGCAGTGGTTGCTTTAAAATTTTAAATTTGTATGCCATTTATATTTAAGATGACATTTGATATACTTAAAAATATATTCTAACTTGGAAATATTTTCCAAGTGTGGTATAAAAAGCTATGATAATTATATCCATTAATTGCATTCCATTAATTTAAAAACATAATGGGACTTGTATCCAGAATATATAAAGAACTTTTACAACTTAACAAAGACAACCCAATTTACAAGTTAGCAAAGGATTTGAAAAGATATTTCTCCAAAGAAGACATACAAATGGCCAATAAGCACATGAAATGATGCTCAGCATCATTAGTAAATAGGGAAATGCAAATCAAAACTATAATGAATTATCACTCACACCCACTAGGATTGCTTTAATCAAAAAGACAATAAGTGGATGAGACAGTGGATAAATTGGAACATTGGTGGGAATGTAAGTGGTGTAGCCACTTTTGAGGAACACAGTTTGGCTGTTCCTCAAAAAGTTAAACAGCCTACTACCCAGCAATTCCACTCCTAAGAATATAAAGGAATTGAAAAATCTGCATGCCAACTCCAGCCCCTGGTAAGCACCATTCTATTTTATGTGTCTATGAATTTGACTATTTTAGATATATAAGTGGAATCACACAGTACTTGTCTTTTTGTGACTGGCTAATTTCACTCAGCATAATGTCCTCAAGCTTCATCCATGTTGTAGCATGTGACAATTTAGAGGCTAAATATTCTACTGTATGTATGTACCACATTTTGTTTATCCATTTATCTGTCAGTAGACATTTGGCTATTGTGAATAGTGTTGCTGAGAACATAAGTGTGCAAACATCTCTTCAAGACCCTACTTTCAATTCTTTTGGATATATGGCCAGAAGTGAGATTGCTGGAGCATACGGTAGTTCTATTTTTAATTTTTAAAGGAAACTTCATACAGTTTCCATAGCAGCTGCATCATTTTATAATCCTACCAGCAGTACACAAAGTTTCCAATTTGTCCACATCTTCACCAACAATTATTTTTTAGGTTTCTTTTTTATATTAGCCATCCTAATGTGTGTGAGGTGATATCTCATGGTTTTGATTTGCGTTTCTCTGATGATGAGTGATGTTGGACATCTTTTCACATGCTTGTTACCATTTGTATATCATATTTGGAGAAATGTCTATTCAAGTCCTTTGCCCATTTTTGAACTGGATTATTTGATTTTTTGTTGTTATTGAGTTGTGGAATTCTTTTGATATTCTAGATATTAACCATCTGGTCTAACGTGTCGTTAAGTCCAGTGTTTCCTTATTGGTTTTCTGTGTGGATGATTTATCCATTGATGAAAATGGGGGTATTGAAGTGCCCCCTAGTATTATGTTACTGTCTACTTCTCACTTTAGGTCTGTTAATATTTGCTTTATATGAAGTTTTGTGTGTGTTTGTATGGAATCTTTAGAGTTTTCTACATAAAAGATTATGTCATTTGCAAACATAATATTATTTCTTCCAATTTAGATGCCTTTTATTTCTTTTTCATGCCTAATTGCTCTGGCCAGGACTTCAAATACCATGTTGAATAGAAGTGTCAAAAGTGGGCATCCTTGTCTTGTTCCCGATGTTAGAGGAAAAGCTTTGCATTTTTCACCATTGAGTATATTGTTAGCTGTGAACTTTTCGTATGTGGTCTTTATTATGTTGAGATAGTTTCCTTCTATTCCTAGTTTGTTGATTTATAAAAAAATTTTAAATCGGGAAAGGGCGTTGAGTCTTGTCAAATGCTTTTCTCCATCAATTAGGATGCTCGTGGTTATCTTTATCTTTAATTTAATTTAATGTGGTGTATTGGAATAATTGATTTTCATATGTTGAACCATTATTGCATTCCAGGAAGAACTCCCACTCCATCATGTGTAATTCCTTAATGTGCTGTTGAATTTGG